AAATTAAAAGCAAAATTATTATTAGCTCAGTGTAAGTGAAATAAGGATTTCTTCAGAATTGACAATCTGCGAGATACAACCAACAGCTACCAGTAGTTAGGATGTATCACATGGACAGACATTTGAACTGATAACAAAAAACTTGGGTCTGAAAATATATTCCATTGCATCATAAACCGAGTGCTCTATCTTTCAGACTACACCACACGTTTGAAACCTAGGAAACGCCAGAAAAGGCAAATTTCTTTAAAGGCTATAACTAGTAAGCAAATGGTTGCATGATCCGAGTTTAAGGAACGAAATAAAACTGCTCCTATAAAAACGTCAATGGCTTCTGAATCAAAGCCATAATTGGTGCAACCATGAAATTTAGTTTGCCTAAGTAACAATCTGAGGTGGGAATTTTGGCAATTGCAATTTTCTATCGATAAAAGAGACTTCAATCGAAAGAAAGGCTACTCAATCTTAGCCTTCCTACTCACAAGCAATCGGGATGTTTGAGTGAGGACCATAACCTCAAGTCGGAGCAACATTAGCCGTATGCAATGTGCGTACAAAACGAAGTTAGCGACGGGAAGAGTAATTTTAAGGGATCGCAAGATAATCATGATTTATGATCTAGCATAGTAGTAAAGAAATACTAGAGGGTCATGGGTGTCCCACTCTACTTAAGCTTGTCACAAGCTGAGGCACAAATAATTGCTAGGACCCGGCCACTTGATATAGCCTCATAGATTGCAGATAAACGTGGAGATTAAGTTATCATAGATTAAATAAATAAGCTAATACTTTAGACAGGCTGATGGAATTAGCTCGTAATGCCCACGATGAGGCTATTAGAATAAAAGTAATTACATAAATAATAATAATGAAAACGAGCTAAGCAGAACTTGACGCATATATGTGCAGATAAATGAAAACGAGCAAAGAATATGCTACACTAAGGATAAATGTGTATGTATCAAGTAAAATATGCAACTAACCGGTGATGTTGCTGCAAATTGTTTGCCGGCATCTTCTTGACAGATTGGATGATATGCCTTGCCATCGATCATAACAGCGTTTCGCAACATCCACTCCTCTTCTTCGTGATCCCAGAATTCCTCAAATTTTTCGAAACAAACCGAACACAACTAAAATATGGAAGTACATCCGTTAGACTAAATAGGATTAGACAAAAAAGAGACGCAAATGGACCTACATTTAGGGAGGGCTCCGTGAAGGCCTTGCATTTGCACTCAGGAATATTATCGATAGGTGAACAATTCTCTAGTTGGGGTCCGCCATCCCTTGTAATTTCGCTCATTAGCCAATAACGATATGGCTGATAGAAATTGCGACTCCTACCTTGGTTCTCGGCCTCAGTCGATTTCTTGACATAGTGATAATCCAAATGACTGGCATATTCCTTAGAATGTTCATTGACAAACCTTAAGCCACAGTGCACACATTGCTCACCACCATAGAGACTATCGACTTCAAGTACAAATGGGAGTCTGAACTTCTCCCAAGAATACTCGGTCAACAGAGGCGGCTCTTTTGGAGGCTCAGCCTTAGCTTCAGGCCGAGAAACAATACCTGCTTCGACAAGCTTTTGGAATAAAGAATGGATGTCAATCTTCTGAGTTTGAGGAGCATCTTGAAGCGGGAAGAGCTGAGAGTTGTCCGAACCAAGTTCATTATTGTTGAGTTGCATACGGATGTGAGCCTGGTTGGATTGCATCTGCTGATGGGATTGCACGACTGGCTCAGAAGGAGAAGACCCACATTCACCATTTGTCTCAAGCTGCTGTGTGCGCTGATCTGCTATGCGATGCATCTCCTTCAAGGGATTGAAAGGCGGTTTATACAAATGGGCAGGTGAGCCAAAGTAGCCTTCTGCTGCCCACTTCAGCAAGCGAGGGGGTATGGCTGGCAACACATCGACATTCTGTGGGGTCTCGCCTACGAAACGAACGCCAATAGAATTGTAACTAATATTGATGAATGTAACATGAGAACCAAAAGGCACAGTGTGAGGCTTTCCATTGATGACTAGCTCGTGACCAGGCCCTCCAAGGCAAGCCAAATGTGTGCGGCTCCCAACATATATCCGAGAATATCCAGTCCCATTTATAGCGAATGTTCGGTCATCGATCATTGCGTGTAGCTTTTCACATCTGAAGCGGATAGCATGAAACTGATCGCCAACTTTTATTACAGGTTGGACGCGGTCAAGAAGAAGTGGATATTGATATCCATCAATAGTAATTCGCCTAGGCGGTCTCGGATGAGTAACAAGGGAAAGCATTCTAGGATCCACTCCAATGTTTATCATATCAGGAAAACCTTCGATC